ACCCAAATACCTGTACTTTCTACTTCTTACATGTTGAACTCAAATACCTGTACTTTCTACTTCTTACATGTTGAACTCAAATACCTGTACTTTCTACTTCTTACATGTTGAACACAAATACCTGTACTTTCTACTTCTTACATGTTGAACTCAAATACCTGTACTTTCTACTTCTCACATGTTGAACCCAAATACCTGTACTTTCTACTTCTTACATGTTGAACTCAAATACCTGTACTTTCTACTTCTCACATGTTGAACCCAAATACCTGTACTTTCTACTTCTTACATGTTGAACTCAAATACCTGTACTTTCTACTTCTTACATGTTGAACACTAATACCTGTACTTTCTACTTCTTACATGTTGAACCCAAATACCTGTACTTTCTACTTCTTACATGTTGAACTCAAATACCTGTACTTTCTACTTCTCACATGTTGAACACAAATACCTGTACTTTCTACTTCTTACATGTTGAACTCAAATACCTGTACTTTCTACTTCTTACATGTTGAACACAAATACCTGTACTTTCTACTTCTCACATGTTGAACCCAAATACCTGTACTTTCTACTTCTTACATGTTGAACCCAAATACCTGTACTTTCTACTTCTTACAGGTTGAACTCAAATACCTGTACTTTCTACTTCTTACATGTTGAACCCAAATACCTGTACTTTCTACTTCTTACATGTTGAACCCAATACCTGTACTTTCTACTTCTTACATGTTGAACTCAAATACCTGTACTTTCTACTTCTTACATGTTGAACTACAAATACCTGTACTTTCTACTTCTTACATGTTGAACTCAAATACCTGTACTTTCTACTTCTTACATGTGAACTCAATACCTGTCTTTACATGTTGAACACAAATACCTGTACTTTCTACTTCTTACATGTTGAACACAAATACCTTTACTTTCTACTTCTTACATGTTGAACCCAAATACCTGTACTTTCTACTTCTTACATGTTGAACACAAATACCTGTACTTTCTACTTCTTACATGTTGAACACAAATACCTTTACTTTCTACTTCTTACATGTTGAACTCAAATACCTGTACTTTCTACTTCTTACATGTTGAACACAAATACCTGTACTTTCTACTTCTTAGATGTTGAACTCAAATACCTGTACTTTCTACTTCTCACATGTTGAACCCAAATACCTGTACTTTCTACTTCTTACATGTTGAACTCAAATACCTGTACTTTCTACTTCTTACATGTTGAACACTAATACCTGTACTTTCTACTTCTTACATGTTGAACCCAAATACCTGTACTTTCTACTTCTTACATGTTGAACTCAAATACCTGTACTTTCTACTTCTTACATGTTGAACTCAAATACCTGTACTTTCTACTTCTCACATGTTGAACACAAATACCTGTACTTTCTACTTCTTACATGTTGAACTCAAATACCTGTACTTTCTACTTCTTACATGTTGAACCCAAATACCTGTACTTTCTACTTCTTACATGTTGAACTCAAATACCTGTACTTTCTACTTCTCACATGTTGAACCCAAATACCTGTACTTTCTACTTCTTACATGTTGACCCAAATACCTGTACTTTCTACTTCTTACATGTTGAACCCAAATACCTGTACTTTCTACTTCTTACATGTTGAACTCAAATACCTGTACTTTCTACTTCTTACATGTTGAACCCAAATACCTGTACTTTCTACTTCTTACATGTGTTGAACCCAAATACCTGTACTTTCTACTTCTTAACATGTTGAACTCAAATACCTGTACTTTCTACTTCTTACATGTTGAACACAAATACCTGTACTTTCTACTTCTTACATGTTGAACTCAATACCTGTACTTTCTACTTCTTACATGTTGAACTCAAATACCTGTACTTTCTACTTCTTACATGTTGAACTCAAATACCTGTACTTTCTACTTCTTACATGTTGAACTCAAATACCTGTACTTTCTACTTCTTAGATGTTGAACTCAAATACCTGTACTTTCTACTTCTCACATGTTGAACACAAATACCTGTACTTTCTACTTCTTACATGTTGAACCCAAATACCTGTACTTTCTACTTCTTACATGTTGAACTCAAATACCTGTACTTTCTACTTCTCACATGTTGAACACAAATACCTGTACTTTCTACTTCTTACATGTTGAACTCAAATACCTGTACTTTCTACTTCTTACATGTTGAACACAAATACCTGTACTTTCTACTTCTCACATGTTGAACCCAAATACCTGTACTTTCTACTTCTTACATGTTGAACCCAAATACCTGTACTTTCTACTTCTTACAGGTTGAACTCAAATACCTGTACTTTCTACTTCTTACATGTTGAACCCAATACCTGTACTTTCTACTTCTTACATGTTGAACCCAAATACCTGTACTTTCTACTTCTTACATGTTGAACTCAAATACCTGTACTTTCTACTTCTTACATGTTGAACACCAAATACCTGTACTTTCTACTTCTTACATGTTGAACTCAAATACCTGTACTTTCTACTTCTTACATGTTGAACACAAATACCTGTACTTTCTACTTCTTACATGTTGAACTCAAATACCTGTACTTTCTACTTCTTACATGTTGAACTCAAATACCTGTACTTTCTACTTCTTACATGTTGAACCCAAATACCTGAACTTTCTACTTCTTACATGTTGAACTCAAATACCTGTACTTTCTACTTCTTACATGTTGAACTCAAATACCTGTACTTTCTACTTCTCACATGTTGAACTCAAATACCTGTACTTTCTACTTCTTACATGTTGAACTCAAATACCTGTACTTTCTACTTCTCACATGTTGAACCCAAATACCTGTACTTTCTACTTCTCTCATTTTCCAAACAGCTGGTTCCTTTAGTCTGAATGTGTGTTTGATGCGTGATCATTATTCTTTAGAGTCATTGCGTGCCTATTGATTTGAACACGATCCGTGTATCCATCATTTCCTGGTCTTCTCTAAAGAAGAGGGACCAATGGAAACGTTGTCATGTTGCCGTTGTTCAGCATGGAAACATTCATTAGCTAACAATGACATTATTGTTCTATTAATATAAAGGGAGGTCAGGTACTCTTTAAAACAGCTGCTAGTTATGGGTACTTTTTACTGAAGTACATTTCAAAGCCTCTTTACTTTCACTTGAGTAAAGAAGTTTAGTCAGTACTTCTACTTTTACCAGAGTATTTTTAAACACGAGTATCTGTACTTCTACTTGAGTAAAGGATGTGTGTACTTTTGCCATCTCTGGGTGTTTATCCATAGTCAGTGTGTTAACTATAGTAGATGGCGGTTGGTTGGCACACACCCAGTTTGGAAGAACAGGAACCAGCACAGAAGACTTCCCAATGGGGAACTGAAACCAATATCCCTCCATATGCTTTCTTCAAAACCACCAGAGTAATACGACAAAAGACACATTTGACTTCCACAGTAATTTGGTAACTAACCAAAGTCACACAATAAGGCAAACTAATAACCTAACCAATCGAGGCAAAATAGTGTCATAACGTGGTTTCAATGCAATGACAAAAACCCGGAAGAATACACAATGCATGTTTAAATACAAACGATTCAAATACTGGGTGGATGATTTAGCAAAAAACAAAGTCAATGGAAAAATGTATTTCTCGGCCGAAACATAACTTGTACTGTTTTGAAAATCTGCTCCAATGGAGGCCTCACTCCCTGGCTGTCACGATGCGTACACTTGACATTTACTGTAGACACTTTGATCCTCCCTATCGGTAACTATACGGATACAAAATACTATATGTTAATCACAGAACTAATTATTTTCTCCATCCTAAGTACAAAAAACACATGGCTTTCATTACAGTGTACAGAATGTTCGCTCTTGAAAGCAACGGATGTGGAAAACCCACCTTGTGTACATTCCCAACAGTATTATAGTGGAATAAAAACACAGCATGAGAAATCAGAGTCCTGCGTCGGGTCGGGTACCCGCGGGTGACCCGACGGGTGACCCGCGGGTACCCGACGGGTGACCCGCAAAAAAGGTGATTCGCGGGTGGTATTTTTTCAAACACTTTTTTCCGGGTTCGGTTCTGGGTAAAACAAAGATGATGCGGGTCGGGTCGCGGGTATTGCATAATAAATATATTAAAATAATAATAAATTAGTTTAATGTTTAAATCCTCAGACCTCTCCCCCGCGGGACCGCGCATAATCATAACCTCTGCAGCGCATCAATCTGCTGCTGTGCGCGCCACATTCAAAATGGCTGAGGTGAAGCTCTCTAGCGGAGAATACAGCATTTTCAATAACACTTCCTCAAGAGCGAAATCCAACGTCTGGGAGGCTTTTGGTTTCATCCTAGATGGAGAAAATAACTAACATCCCACGCTTTCTGAGACAAATATGAAACTGCGTGTGTTAATAATTGCACGTTTTCACTGCTCATATATATGCGGGTTCGGGTCGGGTTGCGGATCTTGTGCCGACGGGTCGGGTCGGGTTGCGGAACTAATTGGCAATATGTGCGGGTAGCGGGGCGGGTTCGGTATTGCACGTCGCGGGTGCGGGGCGGGAGCGGGTCTTGAAAATCAGACCCGTGCAGGACTCTGTGAGAAATATGTCAAAAAAACGACTAAACTGGAATCAAGTTGGGGCAAAAAACACAATCCTGTCCGTCAAAGGAAACATATTCCAATCCAACTGTATTGAGATAGCACACAAAACAACCGAGTTCACCAAAGTTTTATCAATACATATATATATAAAAGTAGCATAAATACATTTTGATAAAACCGATAGGACAAAAATAAACTAATGTGAAAGCACGAGACATAGCCACAGACTGAAAACCCTTACAAACACAACAAAATAGAAAACCCCCATTTAGAAAACGTCTCATTGACAAAACAGCAGGCGCACTATTTAGGCTCAGTGTTTAGTTCTCCAGTGATATTAATATCAGCGCTTTTGATGTTCTTGTGTCCTCTCCAGAGCCTGACTCAGCTGACGTGCAGCTACGAGGCAGAAAACCAGACTCGCTACCTGGTGTGTGACCTGGGAAACCCCATGAAGTCTGGAACCAGCGTAAGAGCCCACATGTTGGCTTTGGCCTCCTTCAGTTTGTGTGTCTTAGAACAATTAAGTCACGCCAAATTGTTCTGGCAGAGAGAAATGCATGGACCGCCTCTGACAGCGTTTCAATTGACCTGATAAAACATACAACACATACATCAAACTCTTCATGCAGAAACAATAACCTTGGTTTCCAAAAGCAGGGGAATACCTCGGATCAGAATAAGAGTCAAGGCTCTGTATGATCTGTTTATAATAAGATTAAACCTTTTCATTACCACCTATGAGGCCGTTTTTAGATCTTTAAGTTGTCGAGGAAACGTTGAAAATGATTGATGAATAATACAAGACATCCGTTTCATTTTTATATCATGCACTGGAAAGAATGTTTTGCTCCAAAATCAAGTAAAATAATGATAAAGAAGAAATAAGACGGGATATCTAGATGAAGGAGATCTTGAGATTAGCTGGTAAAACTTATTTTGAACTATATCTTACCAGGATCAGTAAATGTTGTTACAAAAGAAGTCTGAAATGCTCAAAGGTTTGCTCAAAAGACGTTAGTTGGTGATTTCCCAATAAGAATGAGTTGTAGCAGATTAAGAAACTTGTTTCATTTGAGATACAACTCAAAATAAGATGTTTTCTGAGTCTGGAAGTTGCATCGTCTAAAAACAAGACCCTATATCTCACTGCATTGTTCCCTCTTCAGTTTCTTATATCGAGTGCGAAGACATATTCTGACTAGATATTAGACAGAAATATCATAAGATTTTGAGTCAGCGCTTTAAGCCACTAACTTGACGTTATTGACACACACATAGCTTGCCAGGTGAAAACAAGTCTGATACAAAGTTTGCAGCTACAGTAAATATAGTGCATTTATTTCCTTTTATCGTACATACTATTACGGTTCAAACAATACTTTAGCAAATGTTTTGTAATCCCGTGTTTGCGTGTGATGTGGCTTTCATTGGTTCCACCTTTATACCACAGTGTTATTGGCTCCCACAATGTCTTTTCATGTTTCTTGGAGTTCATTTTTACATTTTACTGTGCTTGGTTTTCTAGTTATGGGCCGGCCTTCGGTTCACTGTACCCCAGACTGAAGGACACTCACATTACTGTTCAGTTTGAACTCCAATACGAGGTAAGTCACTAGACAGTCCAGGTCTACGTATCTATCTAGCATCTATCTCTCATCTCTTCTATCTATCTATCTACTATCTAAATCTATCTATCTATCATCTATCTATCTATCATCTATCTATCTATCTTATCTATCGAGGGCGAGCGGCGCAGCGACTGAGCCACGCCGAGCGAGCGTAGCCAGCGAGCGAGCGAGCGGCAGCGACGAGCGAGCGAGCAGCGAGCGAGCGAGCGAGCGAGCGAGCGAGCGAGCCAGCGAGCGAGCGAGCGAGCGAGAGAGAGCGAGCGAGCGAGGAGCCAGCGAGCGAGCCAGCGCGCGAGCGAGCCAGCGAGCCAGCGAGCCAGCGACCAGCGAGCGAGCGAGCCAGCGAGCGGAGCGATCAGCGAGCCAGCGATCCAGCGAGCCAGCTAGCCAGCGAGCCAGCGGGCGAGCCAGCGAGCAGATAGCGAGCGAGCGAGCTAGGAGATATCGAGCTATGCTAGCGAGCTAGCTATCTATCTATCATCTATCGATTATCTAGCTATCTATCTATCTATCATCTATCTATCTATCTATCTATACATCTGGCTTTTGGCCTTATCTTCATCAGCTAACTGGCACTGACTTTAGCTTCATATATTTTGTGCGAAAGATACACTTTTATTTCAGCCTTTGCAGACCTTTACATGCACTTAAACATATCCAGGAAGGTAATTCTCTTTTAGGCAGAAATATGAACATTTTGAATTGTTCTGTCAGTTTAATAACTTTATGTGTCTCTGTTTTTAGTAAAAATGTGAATAACTCAGAGAGCGAGGTGGTGCAGTTTGAGCTGGAAGTGGCTGCCAAGGCTGACGTCATTCTGCAAGGGTGAGGCTCCAACACCCTCGTGAATTACATTACCATTATATCATCTGGCTTATCATTGTGGTTCCTGCCCAAAAACAACCCCTCTGTGTTCCTCTGTGCAGTGTTTCCCGCCCCGACAAAGTGATCTTCCCTCCTCCAAACTGGAAGGTCAGTCAGAGCCTGAGGGACGAGCAGGACGTGGGCCCGGAGCTGCAGCAGGTCTACGAGGTACACACACATGTATTCATGTTTTATAATCCGTACTGCTAGAGAAATCTCACTGGTCACCGGCTTGAGCTTCAATCTCAATCTATCTCTGATCCTCTCCAGAATGGAAGTAGTCTTCACATACAGAGCATCAGCTAGTTCCTGAACAGTGTCCTTCACATGCTGATATCCAAGAGAGGGAGTTACACAGTCACAAGATGGAGGAATACTGGTTCTTCTAGGTTATCATACATCCTGTCATGTTCAAAATATTGAGTTTTTTCTCAAAATGTTGGCTTTTTTCTAAAAATTCTGTCTTTTTCTCAAAATTCAGACTTTTTCTCAAAATGCTTACATTCTCTCAAAATTCTGAGTTTTTCAAAAAATTCGGACTTTTTGATCCTCCTTGGCGACGGTCTGTTATCCTTAGCAACGGTCTGTTAGTAAAAAATAACAACCAATGGAATGTCCCAATTGACCAATCAGAATCGAGTATTCAACCAAGCCGTGTAATAAAAGTGGTAAACATATCTTTTAAGGGACTATTAATCGACTTTATGAAACTTTATTAATTTAATGTTTTGACCCCATTTTTAGATTTTATTTTTGGTTCACTCTGTAAGATGTATTATAAAATAGAGATACAAAATATGTCTTTTATCTTTTTTGCCATATGCAGAGATCAAAACATCTGTCACTGTAACAGGACTTTCATAAACAAAAATATACAAATGACATCAAATGAAAGTAGAAAGTGGCATTTTAATAACTAACTAAAATATGTAATTTCTGTGTCTCTTAAACAAATCTAAAGTTGTCTCTCTGTCTGCCTCTCAGTTGGTGAATAACGGTCCCAGTGTGGTCAGCCTCTCATCATTAGAGGTGCGTTGTCCTCTGAGGGCCCACGGACACGAGCTTCTCTACCCTGTGGAGTTCCTCACCGAGGGGCCCCTCAGCTGCTCCTCCAAACACACCTTCAACGCTCTGAAACTCAAGGTGAGGACGAGGACTCTCTTTCATACTCCGCGTAATTAATATTAATGATTGTGAAACGGGCTATTACACCTACATCAACAACATCAACAACATCAGAGTAACTTTGTAATATATTCAGGACAAAATACAGAAGCGTGTTTTTGGTACATTTTTTATCCTCCTGTCTGAAAAACGAAAACATATTTTACAAAACAGTAAAAGTACATAGAAAATAATATAATTAACAATAAACACTAAAACTACAGTAGACATATCACAAATAAATACATATAAGTATTCCATTTTAAATAAGACTTTTTCATAGTCATACAGAAGCGTGTTTATGCTAAAAGAATTATCATCCTGCCTGAAAAACAAAAACTGATTTTACAAAACTGTAAAAGTAAAAGTACAAAGAAAATAATAGAATAAACAATACAACGAGAGTAGACATATCACAAATAAATACATATTAATATTTAAAATATATATAAATAATTGACAGAGAAGACAAAATAATGACTAACAAATAATGATATAAATATACTTTCAAATATACATGAGCAAAATAGATTTAATATGAAGTAAATGTACAGATAGTCATGTAAAAATGTAGAGGTATATGTTAGTCAGATTTGCTCTTGGGTTATTCTTAGCCCTAATTTGATGTTTGTTGATGACCATGTCTCTCTCTCTCTGCAGCTCCAGCCTGCAGCCGCTCAGCCCACGTCACTGAAACCCAGCCCTGAGCATCACATCCAGAGGAGGGAGGTGTTCAGAGATCTGCTCGCTGAACAAGGAAACCTGGTGAGACATCGTGAACGAGTAGGAAGTTCAGTTTCAAGCAAGAGCGCTGCTTTAAAACCAATCCATATGCATCCACACAGTTCATTGTGAGGTTCAATTACGTCATATTGTGAGACTGACCGTTGAGCGGCACGACCAAGCAAGGAGGCAGAACGTCCAAAACACAACCTGGTGTGGGCATTTATTACTCACGGGCACATGACACAGCCTCAATCTCGCTGTTCACGTGAGAACAAGGATCTCACACACCCTCTCCCAAACAGAAAAGCCCCAGAGCCTAAATGCACAACCCAATCAACCCAACAGGACACAGGTGAGGAGGGAGGAGACAACACAGGGCGCCAGGTGCACATAATCAGGAAACACACATGGGGGAACACTTTTCAAAAATAAGGCCCATTCCCAAACCGCCCCCTACACCCTACCCCTACACCCTACCCCTCCGTTTGCACGTTCACGCGGAGGGTCCGCCATATTAAGTGCTGTTCCAAAGCAACGAGTGTGGAGCGGTGTGGAGGGGGAGTGGGCTATCAAGCCCTCAAACAGTGAGTCTGCAGCGGTGCTGACTTGAGACCGGTCTCTACCTGACCGGAGTCAACGCTGTGTGTGTCCGTCAGGAAACAAGCTGTTTACAAGTAGTTCCAGCAAACATCCACTGATAAACTGCGATGTTAACAACCTCATGATAACCTCATATGTTTTTAACTTAGGATCATACCTGTGTTTAGTCTAGAAAAAGGTAAATGTGTGCATTTTATTATAAAGTTGTGTATATTTACAGACCGTTGCAAAAACTAAGAAGCTTATAAACATCAGGTTTAAAACTAAAAGAGCTTTGAAACACAATGAAAGATGTTTGGAGTTTTATTTGAGTTATTCATTTAAACTTTTTGTCTAAGAGATGCTGATTTGAAACCGTTGTTACACACAGTTACGGCATTTCCTGTTTCTGCCGGAGAGAGGGGAGGGCCGTCCCAAAGCTTGCTGCTGTGTTTACTCCCTCCATCTGACAGGAGGGAGCCTCGTTGAGCTGCGAGTGTGGCTACAGACGGAGTTCACTCCGTCACGGAGGGGTAGGGTCGAGGGGGTGGTTTGGGATTGGGCCTAAAACACATGTTACCTTCGTCACACATAATTCGACATAGACAAAGTACTTTCTCGTTTGGCTTTGTACTGGTTTATCACATTGAGGTTTTGTTTAATTCTTAATTCACACATATATTTGTACTATAAGATAAATCATTTATAAGATAAGATAAGAAGTGACTTTATTGATCCTAATTTGGGGATTTCTTTTTATTTGGGACATTTTTGAAAGCGTGTATGAAGGACAAATGCATAAAAACCTCCTGGGGTTATTAAAGCATATTAAAAGAAAAATAATTACTTGGCACATTGTGTTTTAACTGTCAACACTTTGAGCCATGGCTAACATGGAGACGTACTTAAGCATATCAATTGATAACAATGCATCCCAAAAACTCCAATCCGTTACAAAAGCATAATGTATCAGTGAGAGTCATAAGACACACTCAAGGACACTCATTCATACAACATTTGAGCATGCACACATACTGTAATGTTCAGTGTCCTAGCATATACTCGTGATATGGCTTCAAGCTATTACAGGAAAATAAAGTTCAAACATTTGGTCACCGAATGAATGCAGCAGGACCAGGCATTCTTCTTCATGTCACAACCTGGCGCCTACAATACCCACAATGCAATTTAAATGGGGGAAGTTCATTTAAACATTCTAGGGATGCATCATACGTAGTGGATAAATCGTTGCTGCTCAGCCTTGCTTCAAATGTTGCATCCCAAAAAAAAACGTTTCCCCATTGACCACCATTATAAGAGAGTCGTCTGCTATACTGTTGACGGTTTTAGGATGCCTCCAACTGCACATTCATTTCAATTATTACTTTTTCTATTTAACATTTAAGCCATGTGGGAACTTGTGGGCGGGGCCAGTGGGAGAAACTCTACTCCACATATTTAGTTGTCTTCATAACCAGGAAGAAAACCTGGAAGATAGACAACTTTTTTGTCGTATGCCCAAAACAAGCTATCATTTATTGGATTAAATTCGTGCCATGTTCAGTTCCAGTATCCAGTTCTTTCAATACATGGTAACGATGCCGACTGTAGTGACATAACTCAAATAAATCCCTGTGGAGCA